ATTTCTATGGGATTTCTCGACTTATTTAAGTATAAAACACGCATGCGCAGTTCGTTCAAAACCTTATGCTTATCACTTTGTGAACACGCATTCAGACGTTTCTGCATATTCAGCTATGTTTGGCTTCATTACAATTTTACATTTGATTTACTTTGCAATAATTTATATTCGGTTCGTTTCATAGGCTGCCATAAACACCTTTTAGCTACTTTTTCTTTACTACGAGTTTTATTCTTCGTTTTTGTGAGCTTCTTTGTTTGAATTCATAAAACCGTGCCATACATTGAACGTTCATAACGGTTTCATACTCTGTACACTAGTATTATTACCATAACTTTACTTTATTGTTTACTTTACACGTAATTTTAATAAATAAACTTATGTCTTCGTGAGTTTCTTTGTTTGACCGCGTACATTTTTTTTTCAAATAAACCAGGATTTATCGATCTAACACATAATGGCTGCAAGAAAGTGTAACTTAAATGGTGTACGTAAAAATGATTGAATATGGAAAATTCAAGTGAAGGGCATGAAAATTACGGTAAATGTTTTGTGGGTCGCGGCTAGTTTAAAAATATTGACTGTAAATCAACTCAAGTAGAGTTTGCACGTGCGAGAGATGACTATACAGAAAATGATAATGATATGCCTAGCTTGGTGAATTTGATTTTGTTAAACTTTAGGTATTCAGAGCAGTAAAATAACAATGATAGGCTTAACTTGATGAATTTATGTATATAAAAATCAAAATATTCAAAATTCTATAGTTACATCGATAGGTCCAGCTTGATGAATTAACGGTACATACCATGGTCTCAATAAGTTAACATAGTCATTTGTTTTTTAAATACAGTAAAATATATAATAACAACTAAATTAAATATGTTCTAATAGCTTCATCACAGACACGAAAGCGACATCAACTTAAAAAGAACAACAACGTGGTACGTTAAAATACACGTGAAGCTTTCCTGACTTGTTTCCATTGTAACAAAGAGTGATAAAAGCAAGAAGAACTTAGTAAATACGAATGTTGTACGATCAAAGGAAAAAAGAAAATCGGAAAAATTGTTGTCCAAATAACGTAAAATAATATATCTTACCATTAATAAAGTAAACACGTTGTTCACAAGAATAGGTTAACGTAACCTAAACCTCATATTACTGAGGGTAAACGCGAAGTCTAGCTTCTAAAATACCCTAAGATCATGGCTGAATGTCAGACACTTAAATTAACAATGCTTCTAGACATAGTTCAGTTTTTTAGTATCGGTTTTCTAACAAGAGAGCTAGAAAAAATGTTTAGGATTTCGATACCTTCTCGACGAAAGAATTATTTGGTAATTCTGAGTAAACCACGTGGCTGAGAACATAGAATACTCTGATTTTACTATGTGGTACTCAGTCATTTCAATTCAACACAAATTTAGTATGTCTTATAACAGTACTGGAAATAGGTTGTATAATAAACTTAAGTTTTTAGAATTAGATATAAATACTTACCCGTTTTTCGTTCGAATCACATAATTTCAATATAATATTATTTAACTGTGTTAAGAAGTCTCCTCTTCTTTCACACTCGTTTAATACGTCTGTGGTGTTTTACAGGATTCTGTATGTAAAGCTGTGCAAATGATTGCGTGAAACTTTATCTTCCAAGAATATAACACTGAAGAGATGTAAGTAGAGATTTCTTTTGCTGCTCTCCGATGTAATTTGATTATCTTATAAGCCACAACTAATTTCTAAATGGATTTTATATGACATGTATGACTAAAATAATGTTTCAAATGTAGCTTCGTGTTCAAATTAAATCAATATAATGAAGTAAAATAGTATAATAAATGAACCATAATTGTATTATGTAAAGATATATCCGTAATATTCAGCTGTTTCAAACTTCCTTCGTATATATATGTATATGTATACAGTGACTGATCTTTACAGAAAACATTCCAGGCTAACTGTTAAATTCATTGAAATTACCTTCATTTGTAAACTAACGTGTTTATAAATATGTTTATTTCGATGTTGTAAATGTAGAAACAAAATCACAAATTGCTTGTTTGAAATTCCAAAAACAAACGCGCAAAGCTACACGAGGGCTATCTGCGCTAGCCGTCCCTAATTTAACAGTGTAAGACTAGAGGGAAGGCAGCTAGTCATCACCACCCACCGCCAACTCTTGGGCTATTCTTTTACCAACGAATAGTGGGATTTACCGTCACATTATAACGCCCCCACGGCTGAAAGGGCGAGCACGTTTGGTGTGATAGGAATTCTTCTTTATGTAAGGAGCAATTATTGTAAAAACCTTATATTATATGGGGCTATCAAAAATAACCATCACAGACTAGAAACGAAAAATTATACAAATATCAAATTGTATTCGAAACGTTTTGTTATATCTACAAAGAGATGAACTGTGAAATATCGTTTTCTTATATCTATTTGTTCAAAACAGTGCAGATTATTTCTAAAAGGCGAAGGTTAAATTCCGTATAAAATATTTTGATAATATGTGCATTGTTCAGAAAATTGTAAGTTTCCCCCTGCAGAGAAGATGAAAGTCAAAAACGTATAAATCGTTTTCTATATATGAACATTGTTCAAAACTGTGCAGATTATTTTTCCAGAATAGAGGATTATTAAATTATGTATAAAATATTTTCATGATATTAGGAAAACATACAGATTCAACAAAATCAATTAAAGAGTAAAATATAAAAGCGCTTTCGAAAGGCGGACCTTTCTTCATCGGGGGGCAAACTGTTTATCCGCCTTTCGAAAGGCGGACCTTTCTTCATCGGGGGGCAAACTGTTTATCCGCTTTTCGAAAGGCGGACCTTTCTTCATCGGGGGGCAAACTGTTTATCCGCTTTTCGAAAGGCGGACCTTTCTTCATCGGGGGGCAAACTGTTTATCCGCCTTTCGAAAACGCTCAGGTTATATGGTTTTATATTTTGGTATAAGTTATTTTGTTAGATGTACTTTGTTCAGAAAAATACTGATTAATCCTACAAAACAGATGCAGCTCAAATTATGTGATATTGTTATAGGTACAATATTAAAAACAACCTATTCTTCTGACAGAACCAATACCGCGTTGTTTATCTTTAAATCTTGTATTACTATCATCAAGGTACTATAGGTAAGTGAGCTTTTAGATAAAGACTGCGAAATCAAACTAAAGCAAACCCTTGTTCACTAATGAACATAAAACATATAGTATCTTAACTTTTATGGCAGTCCTTACAAACTAAAGCAAATCCTTGTTCACCAATGAACATAAAACATATAGTATCTTAACTTTTATGACAGTCCTTACAAACTAAAGCAAATCCTTGTTCACCAATGAACATAAAACATATAGTATCTTAACTTTTATGACAGTCCTTACAAACTAAAGCAAATCCTTGTTCACCAATGAACATAAAACATATAGTATCTTAACTTTTATGACAGTCCTT